AATGAATGAATCCATATCAAAATATTTTGGAATAAAACAAGAATAAATGTCGAAGCTTCTTAATTCTTCTGGATGTAACAACTGGCAAGAAAATGTCTGGCACTCACCTAATTCTACATTGGATTGTTCAACATTATGATGCATAATATTACTACTGATAATTCATTTAGTTTAAGTCGGTAAGAAGCAGATCTGTCGATCATATCAAACTGTTTAGCTTTTGATGTAGTTTATAAATTTCATTGAATTTTAAGAAATTAAAACATATCAGTTTAAATATTATGCGTAATTTTGTAATCTACCGCTCATGATGATGCAGTTGCATATACAACGATTCACTTACTGTGCATAACATGCAGACTATTAGAAACTTACCTGTCAGTCAAACACAATCTACCTTTATTTACTGATTTAACGAATAAAGAAAAGCTGAATTGATACCTACCAATAAGAATTACAGTATGACAGAATAACATCTTCGATGTATGTATACAAACTATTTAGCTTTATATGTAAAAGAACAATTCATTAACACATAGATGATAAATATTAGATAAGTTATTATATACAAAATCGTCGTGATACTAAACTACAAATAATGTTTTTTATAGGGTCGGTTCGTGTTGTCAAACCTCAACTATCCCTACAAACCTGATATGGTAATTATTGATCACGTGCTCACTAACGATTGATTTTGAGCGGTAATTCCCGGAGTTCTAATGAGAAGCCATGACTAGTGAAATTCAACTATGTCGAGTGTGTAGCATTTAGTTACTCATTAAAGCCAGAGAGAAATAGTTGAGTAATATCGTGAACTGATTGAATTCAAACATCCAAACACTTGAATGTCAGCTCAGTGGTTCAGAGGTTAAGCTCTTGGCAGGAGATCGAAGGTCCTGGATCCGATCCAGGATGAGATTGTGAATGCACACTGTTGAAGCACTCCATAATAGAACAAAACATCTGTCCAGTACTTCATAGTTTTCAATAAATATCTTACTGAACTTAAACTGATACAGCCTCAATTAACCTATAACTATTAAAATAAGTGAAACGAGAAATAAGTATACCACTATTATTCTCGTTGTCAATCATTTGCTCAACAAAATGATAATAGCGAAATAAATACATATATGTTCAATGATCTGAAAGCTATTCATTATGATAAACGTTAACATTTATTATTAATAAAAATTATACGACTGTTTAAAGTTCATATAGACTTAACTCTCAATAAAAAAAATGGTATTGAATCAGTTAATATATATTCATGAATATAAGAGCTGAAAAACCAGAACCGACAGTTTAAATAGTACCTTATACACAGAGCGAATTCTGAATCCATTACATATCGAACTCATAATGATAATCATTATTACTATTAGTATTACTGTTATTACCAGTATTATTAATAATGATTTATTCAATATTAAAATTTAAAAACAAATTAATAGCATGAATATGAATGAATTGTGAACGAGACGTAATCCTAATACATTCGCATTCCACTGATTTGTTTGATGTTCAGAATATTAAGGAAAACCAATTGATTTGTGCTAGATTGTCTAGTTGTAGAACAGATAAAGAAAAAGAATACTCATATTCCGTGATCCACACGAGTAGTTCACCTCGATGACATAATTTAGCATTAAAACATTCTTTATGGTTCACCAACAAGTCATTAAATTGGAACAAATTGACGAGACGATCAGCTTTAAGATAAGAACTGTGGGATTTTAGCGCGAAATTCATCCATCTATAATTACACAGAGTTGTAACGTTACGCAGTCAGTTTGAACTTTGCATTACAATAATACGGTATCTAATAGAAAGTATTTAGATGTTATTGAATCCTATCATGTAACGCGTATAATGCATTAGGATTAACACTTATATCAAAATGGGTCTACTATAAGAAAACGAGGCTGAAAAAGCCCTAATCCTTCAGATAATGACAACTATGTTATTACCTTTAGCACAAGCCTAGTAACGTTTTCTGAAACAGATAATGTTAGGATTAAAATTACACAACACTTGCTGCTGGATGTCAGTCAGTCAGCTAAAACGTAGGATCAGGCACATATGTGAATCGATCCAAGTTGCCATACCTCATTAGAACAACAACATGAACACTGAATTCATAGAAGTGGTTAATTCAGTGGTGGTACTATATAAAAGTTAGATAGTACAGAAAGAAAAAATTAGTTCATAGAAAGAAAGATATGAAGCGATTTTAATCTCACGGTTTGAGGGAAGACAGAGAGTATATACATCGACGCTAATGTGATCGATTGAGCTGTCACCCACGGTATCCAACCATTGATTACGATAGTCACGCGGGCCCCAACCGAGTAGTCTGCATCTACCAACATGGGACTTCAGGCACAGATTCCACGTTTTGGTTTGGCCGCCCCTAACTTCTTCCCAACTATCCCTTACACTAGTCAGTATTGTAAGGCGTGGTAATCGATGTTCAGGCTTACGTAATATGTGGCCCAACTATCTCAGTCAATGAAGATTCACAACCTCGTCAACTAATTTACTATCATTCCCTAATACCCTACGTCTAACCTCACTATTACTTACCTGGTGATCCCAGTAGATGCGAGCAATATTCCTAAGACATCTGTGGTCAAATATTAGTAGCTAACGAATATCTTCTACTCATAATGGCCACATTTCGCAGCCGCAAAGTAAAACAGAACGAACTGGCGCTGGATGACTCAGTCTCTAGTTTAGTAACGAGCCGTACATCAAGATCAATTAAGCATCGATAATATTGAGAGTGAATCAGACAATATATATAAGCAATTAAGCGATATGAGTTGTAAAGTCGAGTCATCTGTGGGCTCTTTATCAAAACATGATCTTCAGCAAAAACTAAAAGCACCATCACCTCTCAAACTGGTGTCGTCGAAAAACGTGATTTCTGAGGAACTTGAAGACACTAAGGTTTACGGACTAAGGTTATCTGCATAACTTCCATCTCGTCGTCGAGTGAGTCTTTTGAATATAGTCTGTTATTTATAAAGAACAACATTTTAACAAGACTTTTATATGAAATTGATCAAAAGCTGTTGAAATGAAAACACGAGCATTTAGGAAGATTTATGGTTTATAGGATGTGAACCGTTTCTTAGTATCCCTGAGTATTAGAAATTCATTCTGTTCTATATTTTGGGCTCGTATGTAAATTCGACATTCAGTGGAGTCGAATAGAAAAAACAATTAAGTAAGTGATCGCCATCTTTTCTGTTGTTTAATAATGTATTATTATCAGCATAACTAGAATACATCGACGTTTGTTCTTTAGGTTTGGTATTTTCTAGTTATGCTAACAAAATATCAGTAAATATAGGGTCTCTTTGGATGAGCTATGGAGATAGACCTGTCTATCAATACTACTTCTCATTAAAGTGAAACAGGATAACCGCAGTAATACTTCTAGTCTCTTCGGAAAGTCAATCATGTCAGGTGACAGTTTATAATATTAATAGTCTAGTCCAGGAGAATATTAGTGACGGGAAAATCCACAAGAAAAACGAACCATGTACTTTTTGCATAATATGACCTCATCTACTCTCTATTGGCAACGCTAAAACTACTTCAAACTATGAACAGCTGATTTTCTCTATATAGGCATAATCAACTGAGTAAACTTTCAAGTGAGCTTATAATGTACTGATGCGATTATCGTTAAAATGGGTCTTATAAAAAATTTTCCGTTACGGTATCGTGATAATTTTATTGCTGATTAATACCTATTATACAATTTGTACCTCAATAAACTATTATAAGTATAAACAAATGAACAAACTGTGCAAAGAAAAACTAATTAATTTCAAGTTTGGAGTTGTAGAGATTGTTGAATTTCATTGCATTCATGAACCGATCAATGTTAGACCACCATTGAAAACCTGGGAGCAATGGACAGCCGTCTCGTTTTAGTACAGGGATCCTCAGCAATGCACATCAACGATCCCAGACGCGGGATTCAAACCCAGGACCTATGACCTCGCGCGAACACTTAAACTCTAGACAATCAGGCCGACAGCCATTGGTGTTGATGTCTAACATCAATCGATCCACGATGTTGCGCGACCATCCTCGATTGTTTTATAATTAATAATGATAAATATATGAAGAATGTAGAAAACCAAAGTAATATATGTAAGGAGGACCAACATAAAAAGAACAAGATAAATTCTCACCTTTTTAAGTTACACATATACAAAGAAAAAAAGATGAATATCAAAATCAAGATAGATTATACAATGTAGAACATCTCAAAGATCTATGAAACGGAAAAGAATATTTATGAACGATTTCTTAGTTACGCTGCTCACTTTGAGTTGTGCGAAATAACAAGGTGTGCTAATGCAGTGAAACTATTGATTCACCAAACACATGCGAATAGTTATTCGGTTGAACATTTTCTACTAGATTATACTAACTGATGACTACATAGAGGTTAACTGAAATGTTAAATGATCATCTAGTTTAGAGGTATAAGTACTTTGGAAATAAGAGCGATGGGTTAAATCGTCCAATAACTCGACGGTAGTTGGTAACTGGTGGTTAACAAAAAATTATCTGGGTTTCATGATTGTTAGAATTAACCAACCAAGGGTATTTTATTTGTCACAAGATCAATGTAAACGTATTAGTTCATAAATTTTAATTAAATCTATTCTAATCCAAGCTTTTTATTCAGTTTTCTCAATTGAAGTCAATTAATTTTAATCTATTTATACGTCGTTATCTTTCATACAAATACCTGTGACAATTTGCTGTAAATCGTTAGATTGGGAATCTTTTTCTTTACACATAAATTAAATAATTTCGATTTGATTACTTCAGTGTCATCGAAGAGTTTCATTTCAACTCATAACTAAGAAATGAAAATTCTATTTGGAAAAAAAACCTTTTTAGTTCTTAATGGTTTTTTGTTACAAATTATCAAACAAAGAATATAACGTTAGAAACAACACAAAACTCACTACCATCATATTGTGTAAATAGACAATTTAAAAGAGGTTGGAAAATTTTCTTTGGATCATACGGTTGTTTAATGATTGCACATAGATGTACGACAACTGAATTTCATTTTTATTGTTTTAAAAAGAAAAAAAGAGAAAAGAACGGTGAACAAATGATTGCAACGAGAAAAAAAATCGAGTAAAAACAACAACAGTAATCACAATATGATAAATATAGTATATATATAAAGCCAAATATAATTGAATTCATCATCCATCTGAAACAATTTGCAATTTACGCTGTTTTATGTATGAAATCTAAAATTACTTACTTATTTTCTAATTTAAATTTTACCAAATAATTCATTTGCTTGAATAGTTCAGTTTATTTACAAATAATAATTAACATGAAGTGAGAAAAAGCAGAACGAGAAGGCAAATTAGCATAGTTCTACTATTAGCTAGTTAAAGGTAGTTCGACAGGAAACACAGGATCTAAATTGCGTGAAAGTTGACACACACAAGGGAGGGAGAGCATAAATTTAATGTCTTCTTCTAAAATTCGATTGCCGAAGTCACTCTATACTTCATTTCTTTTTCGACATCTAATCTTTTCAAATTAAAGCTGATACTATTACTACTACTAATATGCTAGGATTTGTCTTGAAATAATTTTATCCCCCTATATTAATGTTGTAGGGAAACGTGAACCGATGTACATATGTTTCAGGTCCTATTTTGAGTATAATGCTAAAGATGATGAAAATTCTTCATGTTTACACATGTTCTTGACTTAATATAGTTCTCGTAGAAGAGAAGTCTTCCAATAAGTCAATTGTGAACAATGTCGGACATAATCAGAATGTGTCGGTTCAAGTTCATAAACATTATATCCTGAAAAATTAATAAAACGAGAAAAATGTTGAAATGTGATGAAAACAACTGAACTGGAAAAGGAAAACAGAATATAGCAATAATGAATAAAATCTCAAAAGTTGGAAATAATGATAAGACTTGAAGTTTTGAGGGAAATAAAGAATACAAGCTGAAGGCCCCAATGTGTAGTTTGAAGCAAGGTTTCAGTAGACCTGGGAGTGTTTCGCGCACTAGAATTGTTGGCCATGGTGACGCTTGAAGAGGAAGACAAAAGAGGATGTTTATAGTTGAAGGTCGGAATAGGAGGAATAATAGGGAATGAAGAGACATATTAATTATGAATACAGTGATCTTGAGTGTTGTTAGAGGTATGAGGGTAGCATCACCTCCCGGTTACGCACACCGTGGAACGGTTGTTCTAGAGGTACCCGAAAAGAAATTTGGTTAGAGTTGTTTCGAATGACCTGAGAACGTGACCGCAGTGCCCAAGGAACAACTGTTGGAGGCCGGTCACACACGACCTTTTTGTGAATAATTCTCGTGTTAGTTCTGTACTTGTTGAGACCCTACCGCCAGAGATTTAACTTTGTGAGGAAAGGCAAGTGAATTTTTAGGATCTACCTTTTCTAACTACATCCTCCCTTTAAGGGAAGGCAACATCTCTGTTCATGTACTGATCAGAATAGTGCATTGAAACAGACGGACGAAGCGTCTGTAAAGTATGTTTTAGACACGTTGATCTGGTGAAGTGGCAACGAATGATTTGGGAATTTCCCTAGAAATCAACGTTCGCCCCCAGAATTGATCTCTCAGTAATTCTACTAATCACCAACAATGCTTTAAGACGTCTATGATCTAGCTTTAAAAACTTACGTCTTTAATTTTCAAACGCCGTGTTTTATAGCTGTAAACCATTAGAAAGTCTAGTACTACAACACCATACTTGTTTTTCGATAGGGAAATGGTACAAAGTACGAAAACATAAGTGGTATCGTCGGGTATTAACTAGTTAGAACTGATTAGACTTCTGAAATAATGCGAAGTATTTGGACGAACTTGCAAATTCAGCGAGTTAGGCATATATTCAATAGAAAGACAATTTCAAAGTTAGCTATTCAGTGAAATGTAACTCAAACTTCTTTCTACATTTTTTAGTTAATCTAGATAGACATAATAGGAAAATAATCACATAAATAAAAACTGATGAAATGTAAGTGTTTATTGTTCTGGTCACATACAATGAGTGTAATACAAAACAGGATTGTATATGAATGGAATGTATTGACTTTATTGTATTTTATTGAAAACATAAACCGGTCTAAATTTAAGTTTGGCAAACATTTCTTCAGAACATTGGCACGTTTAATAAGGTCATAAAAAACAACTTTATATTTATTGTTTACAGTTATTCTAAACTATTTTTCAAAAACAAATATATATATACATTACTGAAATGCACTCAAGGTTAAATTATTACAAATTATATCAAGTAACAAAGTCATGGTTAGTTTCATAGTAAACTCGTTATTTTTTTTTAATAGGATCTTCATCAAGAAATTCGCTGGAGAGCTACTGAGATGTTGTTGTCAGACAACGACATAGAGAATTCACGTGTGGAAATCATTATCTATGTTCAGATTGTTATCATCACCAGTAAATGACTACGAATAAAGTGATTTGTTTGACAGTTTACCATAAACAATCAGTCAACATAAAAATAGAGCCTGACACATATACGTTCACCCAAAATGATATAGAATACCAATATGGTGGGATGAAATCAAAAAGTATGGTAAAATATATTGGAATAATGTATTAGCAATGACAATGACACAGACGAAATATATAGAATGTGATTCGCAAAAAAAACTAAGTGGAAAATTTGTGTACAAAACAATATGATAATTCAAGGTAGAGGGGAAGATAAGGTGTGAATACATTCGTGTCATTATGAACGATTCTAAACCATGTCACACAAAGACACTAGACACTAATCATCGTTATCACGTGGACTCCAACCAAGTAGACTGAATCTACCTACATGACTCTGACCAGCAATCATGGAATTCGTAGGCTGATAGCATGTCATGGTTTGTTCTCCCCTAGAATCCTTACATCAATATGCAATGCACGTCTCCGCTAATCACTGATTTGTTCAAAAACTATGTACGATCATGGTAAAATTAAAAAACCTTTATGGATTTAAAATGCACTTTTTTTATAAATTTTGATAGTAATACTAATTAGATAATAAATTTTAACAAATCAACATCTAATTAATTAACACTTTATTCGGTAGTAAAAGAGGGATAGATTGTCCTATTTCAAACATTCATTAACTATATGCAATCAAAAAGCATTCATTCATAATTTATAATGGGATAAAATTTTATTGGTTCACTATTTCCTTATATTAAATCAAATAATTAATTACATAGTACAAAGTAGATAGATACATCGATAATTCATTTGAAAAAGTAAAACAGGTTAAATATGATGTGGTATACAAATAAACTACTCATTAGTAACCCTACAATGTATGGTATAAATTACAATCGGTTGTAGCGGTCACACTTCAAACTAACAATACATTATAAACATATTCGTAACACATGAAAAAGGCTATATTTGTTATTTATTATTGACATTCCTGAAAGAGAGAAGATTAACAGTGATAAAAGTTATTCAACATAACAAAATCAACGTGATTGTGTCGGTTTTTTGCAAATAAAAGGATAAACGTTAATTAAATTAATAGAGGTATAAAATGTATCTAGCATGATTACTACAAAACAAGTTATGTTAACCGCCTGAAACACAGCTATTGGGCTTCAAGTTCGAACCTTATCCATTTACTTTCATCCAGATAGTTTTGTATAACCAGCTACCTAGTAGTTTACACTGGAAATGATTATTTCTGTAATACTAGTTGGAGTGTACAAACATTTCCAATTCATGGTGTCATTTGGCTTGCCTTTCACCATTCTAGATTTAACCATAGTCACAATTTTTTTCACATTGGGCTCACAGAAATAGTTGTTGCTAATTTGGGTGTATATGGTATATTTAACAGATCGACATCTAAAACAAATGAATTGTATGATTTTTGTTATAAGTTGAGAGAGAATTAGCATACTAATCAGGTTGGGCTGAAAATACATTAATTTCATTACAAATGAGAGCATAAATCATTGTAGGTAATACTTGCTGTTGTTTTGACTTCACAATATATATATATATATATGGATTTTGGGTAGAGAAAAATATACATAATAAAATATCCAGACAAAAAAACCAGGCTACTCATCAATTGATTACAGTAAATGAAAGTGATTTTCCAATTAAATACAGTTGAGTCATTCCCCGTATATTTGGTAGAAGGTAAGAATACTGAATTAAAATGAAAACGAAAAATACTCAATTCAACAGTCAAATCAGTATGCTGACGAGCGCCAATGCGCACATGAGTTAATACACACACACACACATATGTTCAAATGAAAAGAAAGATGGTACAACCAATCCTATTCACATATAAACTAAGACATACATATCCCTTATATAAAACTTCGAAGTTTTCTTATATATTCAACTAGAATTTTTTTTCGAATAGTTTAGAAATTATTCGTGAGTAACCAACATTTAAGTGATTAGGTCAACTACCATGGCTTTTGAAACAGCAAATATACCAACGCACTTGATTTTTAGGATGATTGAGAATAACCAATCGAATATCAGTTGATTAGGATGTAGCATTCATATATGAAGTGGATGGAATGCAGATTTGAAGCGCTGGCATTTAAACTTTATTATTGTAAAATTAACACTCCTAAGGTTGAACATTTAAACCTAAACATACTAACTCGAACACTTAAAAAAAACATCACCTCTGAACTCCGTAGCATCTTTAGATGTCATTTTCTGGCTACAGCAATCTAATATCTTGTAGGTGATCTACGGCTCAGTCACCATCACAATGAGTCAAAATGGGAAATCTAGTCAAGAGCATAACACTTGGTAGCAAGCAATCCTTAAATCCGTCTCAAATCGAACAATCGCTATGTTTATTCTGATTGGTCGGTTACATTTGTTTTAAGACGGCACAACTTAATCCTACCGTATTTGCTGCAGACATCTAAAGAGAGACAATTTATCATAACATAAAAAGATACACATTACCATTTAATATTTCGTAATTTATAAGAAAAAATCAGTCATTAACCACCCTCTTTTCATTCAGCAACTATTTTACTCCTTATTGTGAATCGCTATCATTCAAATGATTCCTTGGATATTTTGCTAGAAGCAAATTTATGCATGATAATATCAGAATCTTCATCGAAAAAAATTAGGCCTGATAAACTAAACGAGATAATGTTTCTCTTAATTTTATTTTTTCAAATAACAGACTACGTTCTTTATTCATTGGTATATTTCGTTTGTAATCAAATTTCGGTTTTTATGTAGTTTCCTTGTGTGATATGATACTAAACTCAATTTTAAAGCTTTTTCAGTTAGATTAATAGAAGAAAGACATCTAAATGTTGGTTATAGAGTAACAAAAAACTTGGTGTTTACGAACTGCATTTTTAAAAAAAACTAAACTATCTATTGCTAACTTGTAGAAGCATTATCTTGAAATGGTTCATATGCATTCACTCAATGTCTTCACTTTAGACCCTGAGTTTTAAAATTGTTTCCAAGTTTATTTTCCGTTAGTAATTTTAATTACTTGTAACTATATTTTATTGATCGTAAGGTTCTATGGCAGTGTCCGCACTTGAAAGGCATATAAGAGAAGCACATTGATTTTGTAGACTCTCTACTCAAACACTACTGGTCGAGCCAGAGCTCATGGCGAACTGTCATCGGAATTAGTTACTTCAAATGATGTTTATCAGGGTTATTTGCTTTCTTTCTTTATATTTAACTTTATCATAGACATGCCTTTAGAAATAACACTTTCATCGTTTGACATTTCAGATGTTGATCTTCTACCAGGATATTCACTTGTTGAATTAGAATATGCAGATGATATACATTTGTTTGGGGAAAACGCTGACAGATCCAGTCTTTTGACCAACTTAAACAACAATCAAAGCAAGATTTAGATGTGATCCAGTTGTGGCATGCAATGTCCTAATCTAATACACTGTATACAATGCACTAACCCCCAACTGGCACTTTGAGCGAGAAATGATATTGTGGTACCGAATAAAATGCACAAATACTCATTTACATATATACACTACGTTATATCCGTATCCTGACCAAAGGACGAGTTTAATGAGCAGCAGTTCTAATTTATGAATGTGAAACATGGCCATTAAGAATAGAGGATATCGCGGGTTACTATTATCCAATCTTTGTATTTTTGTACCATTGAGTATACAATGCTTGAGTTAGGAAAGTAAAGCTAATTAAAAATATATAAAAACTGTAATGTATCGCGAAATTCGTTTTCAGACAAAAAGGAAGAACGAGTGATCAGCTTGTTTATTTATAAGACAATACAAATAACTGAGTGATATAATCATCTTAGTTATTTAATAAATCTTCGGTTATCTATATCATCCACAATAAGCTACTCTTGAACTACCGAATCAGCATTATTGTATGAATAAGAAATATTATTATTGGTAATGTTACGTTTCTGAGTGGAATTAATAGTAATAATTTATATTCTCAGAATAATAATTACAGAATTCACGCCAGTTTACAGACATGATCAATTTGATATAAATATTAACATTAGATGTGTAGAACAAACATGTGATAGAAGGAAGTTTTAAGTATACTAGTTCAGTAATTGTTTAGGTAGTACATGTATTACAGCGATTCAATGCATCAGCCGGGAGTTTTTAATATTTCTTAAATGGACAGCCTGTTGATTTATGAACGGAGTAATGAAGGTCATTTCGTGTGCCAGAGAAATTAAAACGAAAACAGAGAGCACGGAACAACAAAGCAGTAAGTACCAAAATATATGAATCAGGTCTACCTAAACGCGTGTGTCATGTGACACAGTGATATACTGTTGATGTTATTCAAATTAGTTAAACTTGCTAGGGACGGTGTTAACATAAAGTGACGGCAAGTAGGTGGTTTTACTTAGGGAATGCACTAATAAAAATGGCTAAACATTTGAAGATCCTATAATACTTCTGATTGAGATCTATGATAAATTTTAATTTAAAACAGTATATAAGAATCTTCGAATACAAACGAGAACTAATTGAACTCGAATAGACTGGAAATCTGTTTGGAATGCTAGATCCCCAGAACTCACTTCATAAACAACTCATTTTCGTAATTTTAATATCGAAATTTGATTTCCTCATTTTGAGCTAATGCGCCCACCTTTACCATCAGTTTGTATTGACCACTTGAGTAGATCTGAAATATCATTGGTTCATTTCCTCTTTTAGTACGCTATTCTGTGACGTTTTTCAATGACATTTTTGTACTCTATATATATGCATGAGTTCAGTGCTTGTTCGTTCGTGCTTTCGACTGTTTGTGAAATATACAATTCTCTCAGTTGAATCCGGTCTTCTCCCTCTAGTTAGCAGGGCTGAGGAGCAGTGGAATAGATTAGCCTGTCCTGTTGTGTTGCTGACTTTCATTCCGTTCGCCGTTTTTAGATGATATCGTAACTTCCTCAAAAATAGCAAAATCTGACACAAAATTAAGCTTCAAAGTGAATAGTCTCTCAGGATGGATTTACAATCTGAACAGAAGTCAAAAGGTGGAACGAAGCAACGGTATTTATTTTACTTGACTTAGTATTAGTAGACACTAACAATCAATTTAGAGGAAAAGAATCATAGATTCACACAATTTAACGTACATAATGCCTGTGTTGAAAGATTAATAATTTCTTATCACTTAATTATTACAACAAAATGAACAAGAAATATAATTGATCAAATACCATTTATATACAAAATACTATAGAGTTACTCATAACTTATAAATATTTAACGACTCAGCCGATCAAAAATTCATTTGTGTAAAAGAAGGAAAAACTGTTATTTACAGAGATCAATCAGATTTAACCCAACTAACAGTTATTGACATTTATTTCATAATAAGGATAGATGACAACAACTGTATAAACGAACATTGTCCTCATCATAAAAACAAAGAATTGTTTTCTTTAACCCTAATAACAACGAAAACATATTTACGTCTAGAGTATACAGATTTTGCCAGAATTTTAACAGTATAATATTTAAAAAAGCCTTCAAAATGTTTTTGAATATTTCCAACTACTTATAAGTAGATAGAAAAATATAGTCGAAAAAACATGGGTAAACGGACTCATCAGATAATACGAGATTCCGTTGACTTACTTTTTGTCTGTGAATAGTGTAGTAATAGAGATAAACTTAGGTGTACACCATGAAACGCTTTAATTAATAATCTAGGGATAAAGTATAGAATAAGTTGTCAACGTTTAATGCAGACGGTAATCGGTTCACAAAAAATATTTACTCTTCTTTAGGCAACAGCATTATCTCATTTTCCATATCTTAGTAAAATAGGATTTAAAAGCCAAGTAAACCAGTTGAAAGGTGATTACTGATCGAGGTTAACACGTTTTTTTTCACAGAAAAAGACTTGGTCAAATGACAGAAATAATGATATAGTTGGAAAGTTCCAGTGTGTAGGAAATTATATTATTGATATTTCGTGACTTAGTTTAAACCACTTCTTTACAGTAAATATATAAATAACCGAATTAAATTAACAAAAGTGTAAATAGTATACAAGAGACGAAACAGAATACTTTTGAGACAATCAAAATTAATTTGGTTAAGTTGATCTGTTTATGTGAGACCTGCTTGTTTGCATTTATATGATAGTGGGTGTGACTCAGTAGCATCCATTAAATCATAAAACGTCAAAAATCTAGTTTTATCATTTATTTACTCATTTAAGCACAAAAACATTGACACAAAGAGGTGTTGAATAGATATGTGTCACACTTCGACATTCCATTTCTGCGAGGGCTGGAATACTGCCCGGGCGCCAAGACCGAAGCAGACGCTTTTCTTAGGAGGCCACTCCCCGAGCCTTTGACATACAGGTCTAGTCTACAAGACAGTGGTGCAGAGTTAGGTTCATACGCTATTCTTTGACCACAAGATTCTGGAGCCCATGTACACCATTGGTTTGGAGTCAGGGTTTCCCAACTTCCCTGAGTGAACCGTCCGTGCCCACCAACCGGTTAAAGCATCAGACATTCGCTTTTTGTCCTCTCGATTTCGTAAGCAACACCCCCACCACGGGAAGGAATTCCCTGACAGTGGCTGTATACGCGTGGACATGTGAGGACTTGACACACATGACATTGGCCACCACCCAGTGACCAATCAATTTTGATTACATCTCAGTCCTACAGGAGATTCGTCGCGAACTGGATAGCTCAATGGTAACGTCTCTGACTGTGAAGCTGGGTGACACGGGATCATATCCGTCAGGGAGCACCAGTTCCCTCAAGATTACAGGTACAACTTTCTGACGAGTGCCAAGTAGCACGAAACCCGGGTCCAGGGTATCCTGTTGACTACCTCCAACCACCATCTGACATGTGAGAGCATTTCTAAAAGAGCGAACTCTCCCCACTCTCGGTCGTACCAGAGCATTTGGGAGATATTACAAATATATCATTATTCCTATTATTAAAAATCCACCCCATCCTCAATCTATCAGAAATCAACAAGTCAAACCGTGATGATGACATATTAGTCGAATGCTTAGATGATTATGATACGGTCGGAAGGTGAGTGAACTAACTATATACTATAAATTGGTTGAAAATTGAACAAAAAATACGAACTATAAGAATTCTGGTACACTGAATTTAAAGTATTATGTTAAAAGAAAGTAATAAAAAAACTGAGTTCGATTATTTACCCAGGTGTACAGATAGATATATTACTAAGATGTCGTTAAACTAGGACAAAATATATACAGCTCTCTATATCTTAGTTTTCAAGGCTTAATGACACACATCATATCTGCATTGTAACGTGTAAATCTTCACAAAAAAAAATCAACAAAAAAATAAAAAAACAATGTTTTATGAACAAACTTACATAAATTATCTTTACAGAATTTATTTTTTTCAACTTGACATTCAATTATGATAACAGGATCAAGGCATAAATCATTTTGTTGATTGTTTGCATTAAATGAATATGCAAGTATTGAAATCTGTGAAAAAGATAAGTTTTAAAATGAACATTTACTCTGCAAGAGTGAATATTGGGTTGTAAAAGAAGAAGAACAACAAAGAAAATAGTTGAAGAACAGGCACAAATTGCCATCTTGATATTTTGAACTATTAAACGCTTAAAATACTGTTTTTATACTCGTCTATATGTACGCTTTTTGTTTGACTTATAAATTATCATCAGAATGGGGGTTTGTTGAAATTGTAATAATTTAAATAAATGAAATTACTGAGCCAATTAAAGCTAGACCACAGCTAAAAATCTGGAAGCACTGAACGGCCGTTTCGTCATAGTATGGTTTAGAAGTTAAGAGCTCTCGCGCGAGAACGAAGGTCCTGGGTTTGAGTCCCATGTGTGTGCTCGTAGATGCGCACTGCTGAGGAGTCCCATTCTAGAAAGAAACAGTGGCCCAGTGCTTCCAGATTTCCAGTGGTGGTCTAGCTTAGATCGACTCATGAATTCAACTATTAAAATTATGAATTGTTGCAGCCATTATTATTGCTTTTTAGTTCCGGAATTATGATTAGTCAATTATTTCCATACTGCTTTGTTTTAGTATTACTGATGAATGAGCTATGCATACACTGTGATTGTCAGTGGTGTTGGTATGTTGAAGTCAGATATTTAAAGTACATAAGTGTACAGGCTCCGAGTCATGAATGAATACAGTACTATAGTGATGATAACTGCTTACGTACTTCGTTTTCTGACTAAACACTGGGTTGAAAAGAGATTTAAGGTCTGAGTCGTTACTGATTGATCATCGCGTCATTAGTAAAATAGGAAGTCGTCAGTCCTACAGTCATAGAGCAAGTCCCAACACAATTCAAATATCTATTTTTCTTATCATACAGCGCACATAATACATACCTAAATATAACTGTAATTTACAGTATTTAAACAAGTGTAATTTTAAACACAAAATTGTTTTATTTAATTACCTGATTGTGCTACGATAGATTATCTAACTATGATGTAAAAAACTCGGTTTTATTTAAATATATCGATTGAATATTTGTTAGGTATTTTGGTTTATTTATTTTCGTATTACCCCAGTTCCAAGCTTTTATCTGAACTGTACATTACTGACATAACATTTTTCACTCATAAACTAGGACCAGTGATTCGTGTACCCGGTACTCCATTTTTCCAATAATTTGTATAGTTCTTCTGTGTTAATACTGTTATTTATCTAGTCTACCGAGTGGTCTGATCTTATATGTATGTAAATGAATGCCTGAAATATAATGACCATCTTAAATTGGAGATAATTGGTCTTGTGTTACTCTTCTCCGTTCGGGGCTAGTTAGTATTGGGCCAACCATCAAGAGTAGAGTATCAGTTCTCTTGTCTCTGTTGCTTATTGGTTGCTTAAGGTTATCTGTGCGCAATGGTCGGTGCTGGGACATAACAAATTCATTAAGTCGCAAGAAATAGTTATGTGGACAAGAAACAATCACTTATGTTCGAGTGATTGACTATTCACAAATTATATAGGTTGGAAATGATCAACAAGAAACCATGAACCTATATCTGTTCCATGATGACAGTAACATCAAAACAGGCTTTATCTCCTATCTCAAGTACTAGACGGTACAACACTGATTATTTTTTAGTGACCGATTAGGTTGTACAAAAGTATGATTGATGCATACAAACTGTTTTGGATTTGATCTAAGAGAAAAGAATTTTTTAAAATTCCCTAAAACATATGTTGATACCGTGAATGTAGGAAATCACTTGTAATTTGCGTAGATATTTCACTCGGATTATTTTAGAAGATAGGACTTTGATTGCATTTAAATTATTTTGAGTTTAATTATCCGCTGTTGGACAGAAAAAGATGTTACTCTTAATATTCACCAGACAATCTAATATAGAAAAATACAAACTAGCAGATTTTAGGCTTTTGTTGAAACTAATTTGTTATTAGAATGCTGCTTAAGTTGATATTCACCTTCAATCCTAAAATAATGTTTCGAGGGTTTTATAAATGATAATATAGATCATCTGTGTAAGAACTTAAGTGTGAATATGAACAAATAGTTTCTCAATAGTTAGACTCCGAGTTTCTAAAAGACATTGAAAAAGAAAATTATTATTGTGGTCTCACATTCCAATATCGAAAAATAACTAATAAGTTGCCCTCGAAAATCTGATCTGAGCTTCTCTCCTGATGAGTTATTTTTAATTTCAGTCCCTGAGGTTTCTACAAATATGATATCCATGTTAATAAATCTTGTGTGTTTACAGATTGTTCACACAATGATCGGCAATAATGTGTACAGAAAAAAAGATAATAATTTTGAAAATATTTAAAAGCAGACTACTTACATCACTCGATTTACAGTCATCGGGTAAAAGAGAAGAGTCTGTAATGAGTACAGCTCGGGCACACCAACTATGAAAGAAAACAGAGTTAATTATGAGTATTGAATAACCAATTAAATTTGTATAGAATAGTAGGATGAAAGTGGATGCTGTTAGGACGCATGCGAGAGTCAAACCAACTACTGCATGAGAAGGCTAAGAGAGGAAAGGAAACCAATTGAACTAAACTGATTCATAAGCACAAATATCCATTTGCATATGTATCTACTTCTTAAAAATAAAATTATTATTTCGTCAATCACATGCACCTGTCATTTGACGATTTTTGATTGGCTGACTGTATCAGACACTTTCAATTAACATTTCACAAACAAGGAACGGTGTTAAGTCAATAACGAGGATTTTTATTTTTAGATCTTCTGTTGTGACAAGGCAGTATCACTTTAGGATGCTTGTTATATGTGAAAAACATCTTAATATCAGGAAAACCTATTACAGTTAATAAAGCAACTTCGCCATTGAACTTTACATTTTCTGTTATACAACAAATCCGGCTGGCATGGTAAGATCCCAAAGAATAGGTGTACTTAATTATACCTGTTAACCGTCGTTGAGGAGCAAAGACCGTCAACTAGCATTCTCCATCCAACTCGGACCTGGGCAATCCTTACCAGTTGCTATTCATCCATATCATGTCTGCTTCCAATTCTCGACACAGTGTTTTCTTTGGCATTTCTCTTCTCCGTTTCTCTTCAGGATCCCAAGTTAGCGCATGCTTCATGATGCAGCTTGATGACTTCCCCAATGTATGTTCTATCTCACCTTCAACGTCTTCTCTTAATTTCCTCTTCAGTTGGAAACTGGTTTGTTCTCTTCCACATTAGGCTGCCGTTGATGGTAGCCGACAAAAGGACATTGTATATCTTTCCTAAATAATTGTTTGTAAATATTGGCACTTTTTGATGGTTGTACTAGTACTCCAAGTTTCAGCTCCGTACAGTAGGACGGTCTTGACGTTCGGATTGAAGATTCTGACTGTGATATTGATTGACAGTTGTTTTAAGTTCCACATGTTCTTGCTTTGCCGATGCTCGCCTTTACGTCTGCATCCAATCCTCCTTGTTCATTGATGATGCTCTCTAGGTACGTGAAAGATTCCACCTCTTACAAAGCTTCTCTATCAAGTGTGATTAGGTTGGTAAAAAATAAGTGTACTAAACAGTAAAGATTGAATTGATCGTCAATATAAGCACTTACGACCAATCCTCTTAAATTAGCAGCTATGATTAGGGCATGGGCTTTCGGGCAATCGATTCACTCAAATATTATTTATAAAATTATGTGCATTATTTAGAAATTTTAAAATACGACCAACAGGTAGTATTAAAGACAGTGATATGGTAAACCAATCAGAAGTAGCCTAACGAGAAAGTCAATCGATGGCAATCAGCAGTGACCTACAGGACAAGTGCATTTTAATGGCTAAGAAATGGGTTAATTTCATAAGGGTTAAGGTGATATATATGTACATTTTATTTGATACCCTAACATCCCTTCTCGCTTATTCTTGTGTTCAGTTGGGGGTTTTGGCGTGTAGTAAATCGGATATCAGTATCAGATTTTGGACGCAGTCCGTCACAATAGATAGTATTTATTTAATAGAAAATAACTGGATTTAAGCTACTCTGATAAAAGTAAGCAAACAAATGAACTAATTGATGATTAAGATTGACAAAAACACATGAGAATCTCATAAAATAGGTATATAAAGACAACGATAAAAGACTATGATAAAATACACGCAGAGGTTAATATATTTGAAGTTATCAGATCAAATCTTGGATTATTGTGATGGAGATATATGAGTAAATTGAGGATAGTTTTTGTCAAGGAGAACTATTGCGAACAATATATCATCGGACGACTATTTTAACCTATCTTGCCGATTTTCATTAATGAATACATATGAGATTGAGTCTAAGATTTGCAAATCTAAAGTTATGGTGTTCGCTGCAAAACATGAAGGCTCTAGTGTATACAAAAGTGGGTGAAATAACTATTCAGTGGATATCTATGGTACGTAGTGGTTCTTCAATTGATGTTAAATTATGAGAAAGAAAATTCTTCAAAACTACAAATTTCTCCAACAAGATATACTAGATTACACGTATTTCTGTCTTTTTTTTCATACCACTGGTAATATTAAAGATAGATTTAAATGTCGTTTATTGCAACCATTAAAAGCGTAAACAGTCAGGATTGTGGAAAAAACTCCCAAACCTTAGTCTTTTCGTTTGATAAGTTCAGACACAGATAGTTTAATTCACCGCACAAATAATTCAAATAACAACTCAACATTCAATCCTACAGGATTTCATTCAACAATGAAAGACGTTGTGAATCCCATGAGTAGATTATTTACTTATTTAATTCACACAAAATTTAGGACAACTGGTATTCAAAAATAGTATGTGCCATGGAAAGTAAAATTCGTATGCGAACTGAGATAATTCTTGAGAGTTCAAACCGAAGCAGTCGGTTTTATTAGTCCACTCCCTAACCATCGACTAGGAAGTCTAATATACAAAGGGGCAGAAAAACGTCAGACGACGTCCTATGGTGGCCGGTGAACAAAAATAGGTCTGTACGCCAATATTCCCTTGGGATCCTGCAGCTCATGCACACAAATGTTGTTAATAAGGGTTTTCCAACTCTCCTACGTTGACTTTCCGTGTCCACCAACCCTGTTTGGGCGCTAAAAGGTCTGTTTACGTCCTTTCAATTTTGTAAAGAACACTCCAATCAAGTGAGTCCATTGGCTAGGACTTCCCTGGCAGACACCGTAAAAGCACGACTGTACGAGAGCATTTGTGAACAGAGAGAGAACTCCCACTACTCTCAGCCACACTACATCATTCGGGGGTAGTTTTTCATAAAAAACAGAACGAACAACAGATTTCTTAAATGTTATGAGGTATTATAAACTTCAGTTTCTAAAACTCATTTTTATTTCATAAGGTAGATTTAAGTGGACACTAAGTAGTAAAGAGAATCGTGTATATGACCATAAAAAAATAACAGTAACAGATCCTAGCGTTATTAGCAAACAACTTACTGATTAATAAAATCACTAATCCAAGAATATGGTAAACATTCTGGACATAAAATAACACATTTTGTTTTTATTTTTTTACCATTAGATAAATAAACAATGAATTCATCATCAGTATTATTCTTTGGCATTGACGACGATGATGAAGAGTCAGCTCTTGTCATTATCTGTCCTTCTTTCATATTGGTAGTCATATTCTCAACGGATTGAGTTACTACATCTACCTCTGAATTTATATATTCAATTTTTTCTACTTTACAACCGAGGCAAAATGTCGTACCGAAAACAGCTGACATTCTGAAAATATTATTATTTGTAAACAGAGAGAGATAATACTGTTTTTATAAAAAATGAATAATTCATCAATCAAATATTCTTAATATACCCTTTAAGTCGTAGAAAAATAAGTCAAACAAAAGAATTCTTTTGAAATAGTTCACTTCCAAAGCTGTAAAAGTTTAGGCATATCTAATTGGAAAATGTACTATTCAGTACACCTATGTACCATCTTACCCCACTGACGTTACTACTGAATGAAAGACACTTTAGCACAGTTGACCGATGTGTGTTTACCAAATCACCTACTCCTAAGGAGTTATGTATGCGGGGCGTTTAATAAGACAAATACTACCCGGGGGCCGAGACCAGAATAAATGAGGTACTACACAAAAACTAGAACGTAATTGATCTAAACTATTATCCGGATACTCAAACTGGAAAAACTGGGGCATGATTTAAACTGAAAGCAGCTAGCAGAAAGGTGAGTGATTATATCACAGGGAAACATTTATGCTGAAGACTGTTTATCAGCACTATATGGTAAGCCTAGGAAAAGGCATAATAAACAGTATTTTTATGCCATGAAGCGGATGTAGTTTAAGATCACTTGCAGTATCATCTACAGATGAGGAACATAAACTCATTTCAGTTAATAAAACATGGCAAATAGCACTGACCGACAGTATCCTTGAGTTAAATCTCCACTACCATACATTGGCCACAAAATTGGATATGGTCCAAATCGACCCATAGAGAATAACAATCGTCGAATTCTAAAAATGGCCTATTGAAAGTAAACAAAGATTTTAAGAAATATGTTCGCACTTGTTAAACACAATGTTTTAAATGTGAGTTGGATTTATGCAACAGAAAAGAGACCTAGTCACTAATTTTCGTGTTAGTCAGACTTGTAAACAAGATAGTATTTGTGATTTTCAGGGAACAAAAACTTTGGATTTCATTTGGACTCATATTATAGTACGACTTTATCACTGGGTTATTCAGATAGTGAATGATCTCATACAGGACTGAAAATGTGATCAGTACTAGGAGTCAAACAATATGGCATTGATTTCAGATATGAATATATACCTTCGGAAATACAAAAACAAAAACGTAGTTCCTCAGCGGCAGGAAAACCAGAGTTACATTGCTGGGAAATTATTCCTAACCCCATAGGGATAAATCTTATTCCAATATAATAAAAAATAAAGCATTTCATGAAACCTCAAAACTTAGTGGAGTTTCTTACAAAGTATAAGATGATTTGGATTTAGTTTCCGGTGAACTTTTTTATACAGCAAAATTAGGAATTGTAGTTTAACAATTAAGATTTGTTTTTCAACAGTCAGGTATCGGGGTTTGGTTGAAATAAATAAATAGATAAGTGATTATTCCAGTTTTTCCATTGATTAGGAATCAGAGTTAGATATACCAGCCTGTAATAAACTACTGTGTTGATTGAATTTAATGAAGTAGAGCCTCAGATGATAACTGATTCAACTGGCAAACAACGACAAGGTTATTGTCATAGGTAAATCAGATGCCATGTTCAATTGCCGTCCACGATGGTGTACTAAAAATAGTTAATTGTCTCCAGTCGAGAAGCTGTAATACCATGGAAATTAAACTCTAATTGCTGGCGTATGCACGTTTTATTTAGACCAACAGTTATATACCTCAAGTTGGTCAGTTCGGATTCACACATTGAATTGTCAATTTTTGTCATAGTCGGAGTCTGAATTCGTAGATTAACTAATATGGGTACACGTTATATAACTACTGCATACAATGAGAATAAACCACAGAAAAAAAACCATACCTAACATCTATCTTTCGTTCACTAGCTTAATCAATGGTTAGTAATAGCCAAGCTCACTTCGTATTTTAGCTCGAACAACCTTTTTATCTGTAGGCAACAACGGTCACATATACCAGAAACATGTTACACACCATATAGAGAATGAAGCTTAGATTTTTTGTATGATCTTCTGAGAGATAACGCTACTGCTTAAAGAGATGAGATAGTGAGTACTTTAAAATCACGTGACATATTTTGGCCGAAACTGAAATAATCACAAAAAGTAGTCTGTTAATATTACTCTACACCTCAAAATGAAAAGTATTTTGAGGCTATCACTACAATTCTTTAGAACAAAGTAGTCACATCATTTTTCCATCTAGTAAAATTATATTAAATGCTTGAAGGAAATTGAATGGAAAATGATTGGTGAGGCAGACAATCGGAATTTTTATTCATGTGAATGATTTACTAATAAAAACACTGAGAAGGAAACAATCTAGAATCATATAGCAGGATACTTGTGGTTTATAAATGACCAAAACAGGGAAGGAAGATTATTGCCTTCAACAGACTTCAGAGCCAACGGCCCTTAATGGAATCACAGTAGTTAAAACCACATATCCACTGAATAATGATAAAATTGAGTATAATGAGGCGTTGAAACAAGTATAGTTCATATACTTCAGTAATTATTTCAGTTCCTCCCTATCATATACATTGAAGTAATAAATGATTGAATGAATAAGTTACTGAAGAAAGTTTTCTATTTGAACAGCACTACATAAATCAAAATTCCACAAAATACATCAGCCGCCACCAAAATTTGTTACGTTACCCTAAGAAATCCATCACAATTAAATGTAGAGATTATAGAAACATCGTGTGAAAATGGGATTTTCATATTTTAAAATATCAGTAGTCGATGTTTTCATACAGGTAGACCAACAACAGTTGATCACTTTCACTGGCGTGAGATTTGATCAAATTTTTGAGAAGAAAACTCGTATGCCTATAAATTTACCGTTGGCAAACACAGGTAAACGTTGTCATGAATCCATTTCCAATTAAACTGAACAAAAACCACTTAATAAAAAATCCACTCTCAATAAACAATATACCTCACCTCTTTAGTTTTAATCTGTTGATTACTGAATGATAGATTAGTTATTAATAATTGTTGGGTAAATTTATCAAGTTTACGTTTTTCAGTTAATAAGTCTTGAAAAGGTCGATCTTCGTATGCTTAAGTGAATTCATTGTCAAAGGAAAAAGGTAAGCAAAAAAGAGAAAAACTCGATGAGAAGCAAACAAATTAATCAAATGTACAAATACAAATGAATCGATATTAATTATACTACAATTAATTATTGCATAACTATTATGATCAAAATAGAATGAACGAATTATGCAAACCAATGACAACAGACAGTTACATTTGTTAAAACTTTTAAATTAATTTTTAAATCGAATACGAATATTTAATAGGTAAACTGAAAGAATACGATGTATATAGTTCAATAGTTACGTTCACTTCATATAGAATCGACAGAAATCCGTTTTTTAGTTAAGAGAAAAGTGTAACAAAGAGGATTCAAACCAAGAAGCCATAGTGGACCGACACTTTCAACACAAAAATAAATGAAATAATGTTAAGAATGGAAGTGGCATAAAATGTATAGAATAAATCTTTCACCACAGTCAACACAAGTTAACTCTCAACATACTTATCCAAATCAAGTGTATTTTAATTCCTCGTTTTTTGGTGCAAAATAGGTATTAATAAGGAGTAGTTCTAAGATAAGGAATGACAACTGATAGATACAACTAATGAGTAAGAGAATAGTTCCTGAAAAGTTAGTAGCAAGAAAGGCTGTATTTAAGATGAAGTCACCAACAAAAATGATGACATATATACACTTCTAAAGAACAGTGGTTGATATATTAATTCCTGGATAAGAATCTTCTGTGGGCTTTCATATAAGGAGCCTAGTAATACTGTGGTGTGCTCTACTGATATACACATAAGTAGTATATAAAGATAGGAAGGAGTAGAATGTACTCCAGTAGAAGATCGAGAAGGAAAGAACGGGAACGGAAAGCAATTGGTATGAAAATGCAGGTACAATGAAATCTCAGACGATGGACTGATATTTGCAAAAGAAACAGTCAAGTTTGAGAAAATGGATTGATATTTTGCAAATTAAGTATTTACGGTATGGTTCTCAGATTTTAGTGAGATGTTCTGTAATTGCGGGTTCAAGTGCATTCGATTGTCCCCACTCGTTTTCTTGTTCACTACAATACGACAACCTAGCGAAACATTTCCTACACTGATTTATACTGTCATAAACCGATAGACAGATCCGTCTACATAAAATGTATCACAATGGGGCACAGTGATAAAGTACCAAACACTAAACAATATAGTAAGGGAAAATTTAAGTTATAAAGGCCACAATAAAAAAGTCTACGTAGTTTTAACCTGGATGATCAAAGTAAACAATCGGCGATTTCATAAGTCAATGTCTGGTTACCGAAATAATGTTTCCCAACTTTTGATTGTTCAACATTATAAACTTTGATATAAAATGGCTTCGAATGACCAAAAAATCAGTCTGCGCGAAATCAGAACTTTGCCGTATAGCCTATTGATATTAATTATCATTATTCTACTCCTTAACACAACTTAGCTTAATCTCAAACCAAAGCACAAATGATCAAAGCTCTGACAGTTTTCATGAACCCATAAAGATGTTTTCGCATCTGTGTTAAAGTACACCTGTTATTTGGTAGGTATTTCAATATTCCATTGATGCTATAGATAGTCAGTTGTATGTCTTTTTTAGGTATAAATATATGTGATATAACAGGAGTAACCACCACTATCATAGTTTGACACATATTTTATAGACTATACGCCCCTTTTAATGGTGGAAAGTTTTAAGCTACATGTTATAAGTAGTTGAAAATAATAACTATTGAATAATATACCACAATAAATCATTTAAATTGTGAATTCGAAGGATATTTAAGATTTCTACTTGCCATATATGGTGATTTAGCCTTTATTTTCATATTATTTAGGTAAAACATGAAGATGATTTTATCGTTTAAAATGGTAGACATTGTGTCCAATAGATTTTAGTTACTGAAAATACGACCAGGTTGTATCTCCTCATTAGTGTGGCTATTTGAACGACCCTACAGATCTTCCACATTTCCTGGATATTGCATGTGTCTACATTAACTGTTACTGTGGTTGTCAGGATCCCTTCTGACAACTATTGGACATCGATTTCGTGGCTTCTTAACAATATCAGCTTTCTCGATGAGGCATTATAACTCTTCAATATGAAGATTCTCAACTTTCAGATAAGAGTTCAGATGGTTTACGTTTAAATGACATTTATGTTTATTGTTCTTTTAGTAAGATTTTTATTCGGTATGGGGTTGCTAATCCTACACCGAAATCTCCTTTATCTCGGCTTAGGACCAGCAGTAACTTTAGAAAAGGCTGGTTTCAGACAAAGTCCTTAGTCTTAATACTTCTGTAAATATTTTTTTATTTTCAAGTAGTTTAATTACTTACATTGGAAATGATGATGATGTGATTAACTGCAATCTCATCATTTAATTCAATCTCAGTAATATGTTGTACGTTTTTCACATTATAATCAGTAACCCATGTAAAGAAAAGAAATCTACATGAATTATGTTTACATGCGTGTTTATTGTCAGTCAGTCAGTCAGTCAGCTACAACGTAGGACCAGGCACATATGTGCATCGGTCCAGGTTGCCATACCTCATTAGCACAACAAGATGAACACCGGATTCATAGGAGTGGTTAGGTCAAAGGTTGCAATAAGGATATAGTATAGGAAGAAAGAATTAGTTCGTAGAAAGAAAGATATGAAGTGATTTTAATCTCTTAGTTTAAGGGAAGACAAAGAGTGTATACACCGACGCCATTGTGATCGATTCTGAGCCATGTCACCAAGAGTCTCCAACCATTGGTTACGATAGTCACGCGGACCCCAACCAAGTAGTCTGCATCTACCAACATGGCTAAGACGAGAAGTTAGTGACTTCAAGCACTGATGCCACGTTTTGGTTTGGCCGCCCCTAACTTTCTTCCAACCATCCCCTACACCGGTTAGCATTGCACATCGTGGTAATCGGTGTTCAGGCATACGTAATACGTGGCCCAACCATCTCAGTCGATGAAGATTCATAACCTCATCAACTGATTTACCATCATTCCCTAATACCCTGCGTCTAACCGCACTATTACTTACCCGGTGATCCCAGCAATATTTCTAAGGCATCTGTGGTCAAATACTTGTAGCTTACGGGTGTCTTCTACTCTTAAAGGCCATGTTTCGCTGCCGTAAAGTAAGACAGAACGGACTGCCGCGCAGTATACTCGTCCTTTTATTGATAGACGGATATCTCGCCTCCGCCAAAGGTGACGTAAGTTGGCAAAAGCCAAACGAGCTTTTCGAATCCGTGCTGAGATTTCGTCAGACACCAACCCATTAGGGCTGATCAGACTTCCAAGATAAGTGAAGTTGTCGACACGTTCGAATACTTCACTTCCTATCCTTAGTTCAGGTGTTGACGCAGACCAGTCCTGAAGCAACAACTTGCATTTCGAGGGAGAGAAGCGCATTCCAAACATTCTGGCATTGTTGCTTAGTGCTACCAGAAGACTCTGCATTTTGTCAGCGTCTTCACCAAACAGAACTATATCATCTGCGTATTCTAAGTCGATAAGTGGACCTCCTGGAAGGAGATCAATACCCGAGAATTCAGTCGACGAGAGTGTTATTTCCATCAATAGGTCTATGATGAAGTTAAACAAAAATGGAGAAAGTGGACAGCCTTGACGGACACCACTTGAAGTTGCAAAAGTAGATGACAGTTCGCCATAAGCTCTGACTCGACTAGTAGTGTTCGAGTAAAGAGCCTTCACAAGGTTTATGTACTTCTGAGGTACGCCTTTCAATGACAGACACTGCCACAGAGTCTCGCGGTCTACAGAGTCAAACGCTGCTTTTAAGTCAAGAAAGACCACCATCGTCGGACGCCGATAGATATGCCTGTGTTCTAGAACCTGACGAATGGTGAATATGTGGTCGATGCAGCCACGACCAGGTCTAAAGCCAGCTTGGTTCTCTCGAGTTTGTAGTTCACGAGTCTTAGTTAGGCGTCTGATAATTATCGAGGCCAGTATTTTAGATACTATGTTTGTTAAACTAATCCCTCTGTGGTTGTCACAGGATGATTTTGACCCTTTCTTATATATTGGGACGATAAGTGATTGCGACCAGTCAGATGGAATAACGTCTAATTCCCAGATCTTAGCTAAAATATTAGTCAACCTAATCGCTAAAATTGGACCACCATCCTTAAAGACCTCTGGAGCCAATGCATCTGGACCAGCTGCCCTTCCTCGCTTCAGATTAACTATAGCCTTTTGAACTTCAGCAAGAGTTGGGGGACCTACTTCAATGTTCCATTCACATTGTCTGGGAATGGAGGGTAGTTGTAGAGTAGCTGAAGGCCAGCTGAACTGTTCTCTAAAATGTTCCGCCCATCGTTCTAAACGTCTGGACTGGGAGCAGATGAGAGTATCATCTTTTTCCGAAATAATCTCACTTACACTTGACTTATTAATTCCAGTTTCTTTTATTAGTCTGTAAAGCTGTCTTGTGTTCCCTATAGTCGCCGCCTTTTCCATCTCTTTTGCTTTCGTTACCCACCACTGCTCACGGTCGTTCCTTAGTTATTATTTATTATTTTATTTGAACACATAAATATTGGTACAAGAGAGCGCCAATATATATGCGCCACACAAAACAATGAGAATTCGAAGAGAAGTAGAAAGAGAAAAAAAAAACTAAGGAACGCAAAAGAAAAAGAGAACAATGACGAAGAGATTGGAGTAAGGTAGTGTGGTAGTAACGACGGAACGAAAAGGTACGATCAGAAGAAATCTTTCAGGTAAAGGAGACACAACCACTTTTTTATGAAGAAAGTAAAAGAAGGTTACAGCAGGATCGACACTGGCTTCTATTCTGAGCCATATCTGATAACGTCTCTAGCCACTGTGTAGCACCATCTCTCAGACCCCAACCAGGGAGTCGTGAAGAACCAACACACGCCAGTCCTTTGCAGCTTTCTTTCATGCCACGACACCATGTCATGCACTGACCACCTCTCCGCTTCTTCCAACCAGTCCCAGAGTCGGCAAATAATGCACGACGTGGAATTCTCTGGGACGACATTCGGAGAACATGTCCAAGCCACCGAAGTCGGTGTTTCAAGATGGTGACACCAATTGAGTTATCATCTCTGTGCCCGAACACACGATGCCGAACCTCTGCATTACTGACATGGTGTTGCCACTGAATGTCAGCAATCCTTCGGAGACAGCGATGATCGAACACAGAGAGTCGTCTAACGTCCTCAACTCGGAGAGGCCAGGTTTCACAAGCATAGAGCAAAACTGCTCTCACCGACGCGTTGTAGATCCGGCCTTTTACAGCCAGACTAACATCACGAAGGCGCCCAGATACACGAACTTCTCGACTGCTTTTATCTGCTTACCATCCAGGGTGAGTACAGGATTAGAATCCTGCCAGTCTTGTAGAAGTACTTTGCACTTCGAAGGTGCAAGGCACATACCATACCTGTGGACACTGACTGCCAACTGATTAAGTGCGGATTGCATGGCTTGGGCATTATCGCACAGTAAGACAATATCGTCCGCATACTCAAGGTCGATAAGTCTTTCTCCAGGCAACAGATCCACACCACCATTACTTACATCCATCAGAGGTGTCTCCAGAATGTCATCGATGGCAAAGTTGAAGGGGAATGGTGAGATTGGGCAACCCTGTCTAACCCCACTGCTTGAATGTAACAATGGAGAAAGGTGGTTGTATGCCCTCACTCTTCCTGAGGTGTTTGTATATAGGGCTGTTAGGATGTTAATAAACTTCCCAGGCACACCCTTCTTCAATAGACAATCTGAGAGAACAGTCCTGTCCAACGAATCGAAGGCAGCCTTGATGTCAAGAAACACTACGATTGTTGGCCTTTGAAAAGTATGGCGGTGTTCTAACATTTGGCGGAGGGTGAAGATATGATCAATACATCCTCGGCCGGAACGAAACCCAGCCTGCTCCTCGCGAGTCAATCTTTCTCGGGTTTTGAACAACCTACGAAGAATGACGGAAGCCAATAGCTTGGACGCAATCGGAAGTAAACTTATCCCCCGATAGTTGTTACAAGAACGACGTGAACCCTTTTTAAAGATAGGGACAACTATCGACTCATTCCATGACGTTGGTACACTCTCTAGTTCCCAAACCTTTGTAAACAACGTCGTCAATTCCTTAGTCAAAAAGTCACCACCATCTTTAAAAAGAGCCGGAGGTAAGTCATCTGGGCCAGGTGATTGGTAACGCTTCAAGAGTTGGAGTTCCTTGCGGACTTCCTCCTCGTTTGGTGGATCAGTCGTCACCGGCCATGGAGGGCAGGACAGTCTGACCGATGTTGCCGGAGCAGCAGGCCAGTTGAACTGCCCTTCGAAAAATTCTGCCCATCGTCCAAGACGTCGATGGATGTTAGTGATTGGCATCCCGTCATCCTCGCAGATTGTTTCACTCACACCAGACTTCTTGCTGCCAGTGGCTCGGATGAGCTGGAAGAGCTTCCGGCAGTTACCAGATGCAGCTGCTGCTTCCAGCTCATTAGCACGCATCGACCACCAGGCTTCTCGGTCCTTACGCAAGCTTTGCCCAATTTCCTCACGTAATATCCTTCGTTTATGGTCTAACTCACGGTCACCCGGAGTAGACCGACGGGCTTCAATGAGTTGTAAGGAACCAGAAGAAACCCAGTGCTTAAAAGCGGGACGTTTCGCAAACCCACAACTGACTGTGCCCGCCATTTTCATGGCGTCATGCAATTGCAACCAATGCTCATCTATACTTTTCGGTGGAGTGGTAGCTAGCCTAGAGGCTAGCTCGGTTCGATACTTACTTGCAACAGAAGTTGCAACCAGCTTGCTAACATCAATCCGTTGATGGCGTTCACTTCGTTGTCCACTGAAAAGTAAGGCAAGATTGGCGCAGACCAAAGCATGGTCAGAGTCCAGATAGGTACTCCAAAAGGAGCGGCAGTCTTTTACACAACCACGCCAGCGGTAGCTGATCGCGATGTGATCAATCTGAGTCCAGGCTTGGGATGCAGAGGGAGGACGCCAGGTGGCACATCGGCGATGACTGTGCCGAAAGTTAGTGCTAGCCAGAAACAGGTTGTGGTCTGTGCAAAGTTGCAGTAGACGGTCCTCGTTATCTGACCTGCGATCAACGAGTCCCCATCGGCCACCTAAACGACTCTCTTCTGTGCCTAGACGCCCGACCTGAGCATTCAAGTCTCCACCTAGTACTACAATAGCTGTCGAACGCACTTTCTGGAGAAGAACTGACAACTGGTGGTAAAACTCATCCTTGATTGCATCCGGGCTGCAATCTGTCGGGGCATAGGCGGAGATGACGAAAAGACATCGTTTCTCACGCCGATTTCTTCTCACTTTGATGGAACTTTCCAATCTAACAGCACATAACCGACTGTTAATGGGGATCCAATCGACTAGTGCTGCCTCAGCTCTAGCGCTTAGTGCGACACCAACGCCAGCAAGACCAGACGAAGATGCCACAGGGTCCCCGGATAAGCGCACGTAAAACAAGCTTTTCGAAGCGACAGATGGAGATCGAATTTGTAGTACTTCGCCAGAGTCTTGAGTATGGGTCTCGGATAGACAACACACGTCGATATTAAGACTTTCCAAAGACATAGCCAGCCCTATCTGTTGTCCGACCTGCATAAATGTGCGAACGTTGAAGGCAGCCAGTTTGAATGGTGCACGTGGTTTCAGAAAATCTGCTTCAGTCCTCGTATTCGGTGGTAACATACAATTTTCAACCGGACAGTGACTCGAGAACGTTTAGATACAGTCGGATTTCCACCAAGGACGAGCCGCTGTATAAGTATAAAAGAGGGTGAATAATGTGGAAAATAATAATAATAATAATAATAATAATAATAATAATAATAATAATACTAATAATAATAATGAAAATAATAGTAGTAATAATAATATTAGTATTAATAATAACAATAATTGTAATGATAATAATCTGAATCAATTGTTTGTTTTTCAAAGCGAGAAAGGTAATTTCCATAGGCATAAAGAGTTCATCAATTTGTGTGTGGGCTGTGATACTGCCCGGGTGCCCAAACCGAAGCAGGTGGTTATCTTAGGGGGCCACTCCCCGAGCCTTTGACCTAAAGGTCTAACCCACAAGGCAGTGGAGCATCGTAAGGAGATGCAGTCCCATGGTAGCCGGTGACCAACGATTGGTTCATACGCCATTCGTACCCGCAGGATACTGGAGCCCATGTGCACCACTGATTTGGAATCCGGTTAAAGCGCCGGACATTCGCTTTTCGTCCTCTCATTTTCGTAAACAACACCCCCGCCACGAGAAGGCAATGAGTAGGACTTCCCTGGCAGAGGCTGTATACGCGTGGCCGTGTGAGAGTATTTCGAGAGGGAGAGCGGACTCTCCCCACTCTCGGCCGTACCAGCGCATTCAGACTTAGACTTAGACTTAGACTTTTTCTTAACCTAGATCTGATTTGTCTTCGCTCTTCATCATGTTCAGAACCTGATGGGACGAGTTTGCGAGAATCCATCAGTGTGACAGACCTTGAAGAAATCCACTGGTTCCTTGCAACTCTGTGGTCTAAGTCACTAATAGATGTCACTGCTGTTTCCACAGCTGATTGTATGCCCTTCCAAGCAACATCTGGGTCAGCCTCGTCTTCACAACTACCTAAGTGTGACCTCAGTTGTTCCTGGAACCTACTTTTAGTTTTCTCGTTACTCAACTCAGTTCTAACGGGTCTTTTTAATGTGGCTTTTTTGCGTCCAGTGAGGCGCAAGCAGATGCGTGCCCGTATTAGGGCATGGTCGGAGTCCAAGCAGGTACTCCAGAATGAGCGACCTTTTCTAACCCCACCCCTCCTTGTGGGAAGGCAGCATCGCTGTCATGCTGGTTGTCTGAAGGAAACACCTTACTGCTGTCACACCTCTGTACAGTCAGCAGTACGACTTCGCCTTCGGACCTTGGGTTTGTTGCTTTTAGTCTTACCGCTCTTCAACCGACCTGTCTGACATGGTAGGACCTTGAGGAACGGTTGTTCCAGCCAGTATAGCTCGGTTGCTTCATCACGATAGGCAAGCCCGACCACCACGTCAAGGTAGCAACAACGGTACATTAGGATTTTCATTCACAGTTTCTAGTCTTGTAGACAGTGTAATAAGAAAACATGTTGTTTTAAATGTTGGTTCATACAAATATGAATTTTCTTAATCACCCATAAAATTCTAACAAGTACTCTGTATAAGAAGAATTACACTAACTAATTGATATTAGCATCAATTTATATATGGTACAACTTTGTTCTGATATGATTGATAAGTAAATGCCTTACACTATCTGTTTGATTAACTTTATAGGGCTCACTTTTCTGGTTGAACTTTGAAATGTTTGTCTTGAAGTTAGTCAGTCGTCAGTCAACAGATATTATTTAATAAGGTTGTCTGAAAAGCCATTAAAAATAAAGAGCCATCAGTCATTTTAACAAAGCTCACTCACAACCTTACATAAGTTTGTACCGATAACGTTCCAACCTTATGTTACATCTGGTCACCACTAATGGCTATATCGGAATCGGTTATTACTTATACTTGTAAAACTAGGAACCACTGAAATTCCCACGACGCGAAGAACATCAAGACTGGTACAAACGCTACATGTCATGCTGAGAATAGTTGTGGTAAATAAATACAAGAATTTAGTATATTGAACAAACACCACACTCAAATAAATTAGTGTTATACCAAAAAAAATATCAGACTGGGAAACTATACTGAGTAATTATATCACATCGAATTGAAAATGAAAGTATTCTTGACTAAAAATTACAAAGCGCTTTTTAATCCCCTCATATCAATATGAATCTAACAGACATCAAAACACAATATCTATGTTAAGAGCAAATAAATACATAGCATAAACTTACCACAATAATCTTCATCTTTATTAGAATGTGTTGTACTGAGTTGAGTATCATTAATGATTAAATGAAAACACCATTCGAAAAATGCACCTAACGATCTTTTTTGATGTAAACTTAATAAACGTGTTTTAAACACGTCAGAACGACAGACGGGAATCTAATAAAAAAAAAGATGTGGTATATCCATATACTTATTAATAATAAAACTGCAAATCAAAGACAATAAATTAATTTACTAATGAAGAATTTGAAGATACTTTTTAGAGTAAATATCAAAATTCAAGTAACACTAGAAAGCTAATACGGTATCAATGACCAAACAAAAGATTTTCAAGATCTAACAGTGACAATGTTACTATGGGGATTATTCAGCCAAAATGAAACAATTTTCACTCTCTAGTATTTTATATTGTAGTTTTTTGTGAGAAAACTATACAATTAAAACTGTACAACCTCAACAACTTAAATAAAATGCAAACAGTAGAGATGATAACATGCATATGAGTCTTTGATAATTTGAATAAATTTTAATTATAAAAATGTGCAAAAACCAGCTACACTATAAAGTAACAAAAATAAACAGAAAATTCGTAGTCACTTACTTTGACTACATGACCCGTAAAATTTGTTGAGGAAGATTGATTATCAGCATTGTTTGAGACTGTTCCAGACTGTTGTGTGCACTGATTATTACCAATATAAGCTAACAGGCGTGATACAAAACGAAATTCTAAATATCTTGTTACATCAGCACGTTGGAGCGCAGTTACTACAGGACTGTGCGAATAAATTATCTGAAAACAAAGAGAGTTATCACAATAATGCATAAACTGACAATATAACTAAACAAATTTATGATAATGATAAATAGAAGTGAAAGGTCACTTATTGCTTTGTGATATCTATTTTCATGATTGATTGTTTATTTATTATCATACAGTTCTTAACATTTTGAGTGAATATTTGGTGTATACGAAAAAGCAGCTTTAATCCCTAATATTTTCATATCATTTTTCAGTTATCACATTGTTTATATTAGGGACTGACATACCCTCAAACTTTGCAGTCAGTCAGCTACAACATAGGACCAGGCACATATATGCATCGGTCCAAGTTACCATACCTCATTAGTACAACAAGATGAACACCGAATTTATAGTAGTTAATTCAAGGGTAGTAATATATAAAAGAGAGATTGTATATAAGGATATGCTACAGGAAGAAAGAATTGCTTCGTAGAAAGAAAAATATGATGCAACTTTGATCTCATAGTTTAAGGGAAGACAGGGAGTGTATACACCTACGCCAATGTGATCGATTCTGAGCCATGTCACCAAGAGTCTCCAACTATTGATTGCGATAGTCACGCGGACACCAACCAAGTAGTCTGCATCTACCAACATGACTCAGACTAGAAGTAAACAACTTCAAGCACTGATACCACGTTTTGGTTTGGACGCCCCTAACTTTCTTCCAACCATCCCTTACACTAGTCAGTATTGCGCATCGTGGTAATTGGTGTTCAGGCATACGTAACACGTGACCCAACCATCTCAGTAAATGAAGATTCACAACCTTATCAACTGATTTACCTGCGTCTAACTTCACTATTATTTACCCGGCGACCCCAGCAGGTGCGAGCAATATTCCTAAGGCATCTGAGATCAAATACTGGTACCTTACGAGTATCTTCTACTCTTAATGTCCACATTTCGCAGCCGTAAAGTAGAATCAAACGAACAACAGCGCAGCACACTTGTCCCTTAATTGAGAGGCGGATACCCCGCCTTCACCACAGGTGACGTAAGTTGGCAAAAGCCAAACAAGCTTTCTGAATCCGTGTAGAGATTTCGTTAGACACCAACTCATTAGGGCTGAGCAAATTTCTAAGATAAGTGAAGTTGTCGACACGTTAGACTATTTAGTTCGGGTATGGATCAGGTCAGTCCTAAACAACAATTTGTATTTATAGGGGGAGAAACACATCCTAAACATCCTGGCACTGTTGCCCAATGCTACAAAAAGACTGCATTTTATCAGCGTCTTCACCAAACACCACTATGTCATCTGCGTATTTTAAGCCAACAAGTGGACTTCCTAGCAGGATACCAATTCCCAAAAACTCAGTAAACGAAAACATTGTTTCCAGCAATAGGTCTATGATGAAATTTAAAAAAACTGGAGATAAAGTACAGTCTTGCAGGACACCACTTGTGGTTGCAAAATCAGATCGCTATACACTGACTCGACTGGTAGTATTCAATCTTTGCTGGTATATTTGTATCCTATGAGGATGGTCTTGGTATGGTCACTATGATGGTTATGTGCCAAGAAAGGCTGATGAAACAGCAGTTCCCAACATCAACAACGGGATAACTCACATTCTTAATAAGTTAGCGAATAACAGAACCCACAACCTCAGTGGATAGTGGATTGGGCGTTTAAAGAGAAAGGTACTGGGTTAAAGCCCCGCTATAAACACCAGCATTTGGAGACAGGTACATCCACCTGACAAGCCCCATATGTAGTGAAACGCGCATCCCGAATTTTCATGTTAGACACGACCTATCTAATTAATGTACTCAGTTAGTCTCTCGGCAGCTTTGAATGCTGATATTTCTTCAGTTAGAGATAAGTTTTCTAAGTAATTAGTTTAAGTAATTTCAGTAGTTTTGTTATATATTGTCCAGATATGAAAAGTCAAATTAACAATAATCCAACACCTTAATGGATATAGTATAATACAGTTGCAAACTATGGTCAATTTGAAAACCTTATCGAATATAATTATTTTAATAATGAAAAATGAAATCTTGATCAATAAATTAAAACATTCTTCTTTTTTTCTTAGAAGGAATTCGTCAAAAATACTTACACCATTATATCAGCCGAATCCATAAGATACGTAATCCTGTAAGTGGTCTTCACAACTAACTTTTAAATGCTTTCACTTAACTGAGACAAATCATTGTATGCATTCTGACAAGACTTTAGCAGGAAGAATATAATATTAAAATATCTAGAAAGCTAACCTATGGAGCTGTAATCACCATTACGTTACATAGAAGTTGAGTTGAAATTTCACGTTAATTAGACCCTAAATAGATATCGACTATATGAATATTCGAATGATTGCTTTTAGACAATTTATAATTAATGAAATTCTTCAAAATTTAATAAACAGTAGAACTGGTTAAATTCCAACTGTACTGTTGTAGTTAACTCACACACCTATTAATTATAATTTAATTTCTACCAAGTAATTTTCCTTTCGATAGAAGACAGTGGTATCTTTCACAGGTGTAATCTATGATACAATTGAATGGCTAGGAATAAATTTGTTAGAAAAGTAAACTATGTTAAGACCATAATATTGCTGAGGTTCAATAATGGGACAATAGTAGTGTAGTGAATGAAGAATTGGTAAAACCGATTCCCTGTTTTGTACACAATCACACTACCTCTGTAAAATATGAAAATCATACATTAAATACATAATTTGCACGTCTTTCTTGAGTCGTCTTTTATACACTCGATTCTGTTGCTGTTGTTCTGTTTTCCTTCCTGTTCTCCTCATTTCAATTTTCTGCCAGTAAGCATTTCACTCCCAATTACCACCACATACTACTTATGTCTGTCCGCATAAGTAGCGCACATAATAGTAGTGAGCGCAGAAGTGGAATTTCGATAGATTATGGTTTGCGAACTAGACTGATGACAAGACACAGGTTTAGGCTGTTATCCGATTTAGTAAGAAACACTTTTTCCACTGCAACTGCACAGCTTTAACTGGTTTAGATCTATATTTCAACTACGGAATCATTCTAACAGTTGAGCCAATTAGTTTGGACCAATTATTTATATTTCATGTACTCAGTTTTGAGCCAAACACTTTTCCCTTAATAGCTAGTGATAGTATTAGTCAGTACAAACAAAAGTTGTTGTGACGGTATTCGAACACGCAACACAATTGTTGAAAGATGAGTGTCATCACTCATATTTAGAGACACACAAATAAGTTTTATCTGATTATTATGCTTCAAAGACATCACATTAAAGGAAACCATGCCTTTCTGTGAGGTAAATAAATGGTCACCTGTTGGGCGTTAACCAAGTGTTTTTTAGTAAAGACATAGAATCGATTGAAAAAGTGTACATCGATCTTATATGCACTCGTGAATTTAGCTGAACGTTAAAAATAAGTCAGATAGCATAGTGATTGGACAGTAAGATTTATCTGAGTTCATTCACATTGTACGTATGTATAGGATTTGAACCGGTGATCTGGAAGTTGAAAGTCGAGTTCCTACACCAATAATCTAAGTCTAATTTATACTTAGGGATTTAATTACAACGGCAATAACTGCTACCCTGACGTAGTGGTCATGCTTGACAATTGTGATGACTTGATTGCACTATATTGGATGAAACACTTGTTCCTTTAGGTTTTATCATGACAGGGAGGTCAGTTGAAGAGAAGGGTAAAAGCAGTAAAATCGAGGTTTGGGAGTGAAGTCATACTGTTGACTGTCATGAAGTGTGATGGCAGCAGGGTGTTTCCCTTAAGCAACTAACGTCTGCAGGGATGCTGACTTCTTACAGAAGGTTAGAAAATGTTGGGCCCAAGAATGACACATTACATTGACCCAAGGTACGGAACTAGCATATCTGAGACCACTGAAAAAAGCCTGAGTAACGAGACTCAAGCCATACCACAGGTTCAAACTCCACTCAAATTACCTTACTTTCACGCCTAGGTGAGTACTACTGGTCCTCATATGGTGTGACTTAGTGCTTGGTACATAAACTTATATTTAGAAAATGAGTATTGACATTTCCCCCACATTACAGTAGTTGCTCAAAAGTCCGAGATACTATTTGGTTGCCAAATACAAAGTAGGGAAAGTAGGATAAATAACTCCCATTCGAGTGCTTAAAGTAGTGAGTAGGCTTTACGCATGCTTTAAATGAACGATTCCCTTAGCCATGGTAAACAAAAGTGATACTGAAATTGATGAAAATAATAGGCCTAATAATTAATAGTTAATACACGTGTACTTAACAATAACATTAACATTACCTTTGGTACTATGTCTATATCATGTAGGCGCACAGCGTTTCGTAGTTTAGACCGAGACCATAATTTTTGGCTCTGGACATTCTTACCAGCGTCATCAGATTTTTGCTCGGTTACTGTAACATTTTCATGTCCATCCCCATTGGATTTCTCTTGTTCTTCTCCAAGCTCGCGAACCACACTAGAAATCTCGGTGCTAATATGATCGTGTTGAACAGTGATATCACTAGGCAATGCCATTGTGCTAGGTGAATCATTAATAACTTTTCTGCTCACACTACTGTAATTTTCAGCATCATTATCATCATAGGAATCGAAACTGTCGTCACAGCTATCACCAATAGTAGTAATAAAAAAACAAATAACAGTACCGAATCTTCGTATCACTACAAAATGTGTTCATATTGGCATTAAACAATTAATTTACAACTTATGAGAACTTATGAGAAATCAACATGAGTTATCTCAGTGACGATGACTTTTTACATGACTACATCTTGGTTCTTATGAACTCAACAAATTATCTCCAGTTAGTTACCACCCGCTAATACCGTTTTAGATCCTATTTTAATCTATTTTTAGTAGGTATATCAGAATTTACTGATATCTTGACAAAAGTAGGTATACGAAAACTGTATTTTATTAGACAAAAAATATTTCAACAGTAGAAAGCCGATGTTATGTAATGGAAAAACGTTTTCACACCTCCTAATTCAAGGGTTTTGCGTTGGATTATCTGAAATGACATTGAACCAAATAATAGATTATAATTTAAAAAACACCAAATAGCACTCACCCTAGAAACCATTCCGATGACCTGTGAGTGACCAAAGGAGACTCAATCTCACTGAGATCTAAACAATTATCTTTAATGATTGGAAGACTTTTGGGGCAGTCAGGTTCCTAGCAAATCATAATAGAGATATTTAAAGTAAGAAATGAACTTACAATTTGACTGAGAAGTTTTTCGAATTCAGGGAATCGTAAAGATGCAAGGACTCCACCATAATAACCATTTCTATGATATGTTAACATACAAATCATGAGTCCAAATTACCTATCGATATGAAGAATTTGTTTCCCCAATATTGATAAACTTGCAGAAATCAGAGATTCACTTAAGCCTGGAATACGAAAAAAATGAGTTCCGTGAATCAGTACAAATTTCCAATGAAGTCTTAGGTAAATCACTGGGCTATAATCTGTGGAAGAATTATCCAGATTTAGGATAACAGGTCTTGGATTTTGGCGAGGAGTTCGTTAAAGAGCATTTCAGCGTTTTAGCTGATATCAGCTAATAATGAAAACCCTAAAACAAATTCCTAAACCCAACAATTAAATGTAAATCACAATTTTTATTCTGTATACAGGTTGATAACTCATTTAGCTTTACTAAGTAGGTGGACATTAGCATCACTCAAAGGTCGTCCGAAAATTATAGACTCACCACTCAAAAACTACGCGGGACTGAGTCTGATATGTGTTCTATGATTTACATCATCTGTTAAAAATCCACTTTTCATAATAAGAGCCGAAAAGAACCTCAGTGAATCTAGTCGGACCCATGAGCAGACTTTAAAACTTGTATTCGTTTTTCCTCAACAAGCCATGAACTCAACAGTAACTAAAGTAACTAGAATGATATAACAGGCTAATCTTTGACAGTAAAGACTATTGTTCACACTTTGCAAACATACATATCTATTTTTTAAAAAGGTATTATCGTGCTGATTTTTGGAAATAAAACATGATGACCAAGCTGTAGACAAAAGAGACTCCATAAGTTAGACATCCTACCCGAATCTTTTTTGCTTACCGACTGCATCGCAACTTTTTTACACGACAAATAGGCACTATAAAGAACCTTTTACTTCTACTTCACAGTGTAACTAATCGCGTGATGACCTACAAATCATTTGGATGCAAGTAGAAGTCGGGAACAGGAAACCCTACATATACAAATAGGGTAGAATGCTTGAACATAAGTATGAGGAGCAAACAAAATGGTGATATAACGCTGAAATAATAAACAAAGGTGTTAAATCCCTATACACTAAACATGATAATAGCCATATGAAGGAGAAAGCTCAGTTAGCTAAATACCAAACTAGTTTGGCAGAATACAGGAAATATATGCAAAAGCCATTTAAAATTTAGACTATTTTCAATATTAATAGTCAATGGTGTAACACCAGCACTTCCCAGTATACCTGTACCGTCAATGACACAATCAACCCGCTCCGGGAAATCCATTCGAAAACGTTAACACCAATAACCCTGACAAAGGACACGTTAAAGTTGAATGATTCAAAGTCCAGTTTGACATTTATTTGGTAGTAACCTGCGCAGCCATTTTCGCTTAACCCCGCTATAATTTCAGGGAACGCCCATCGCTTAAACACTAAGTTAGCAACAAATAATGACTTCGATAAGGTCTCCCACTCTGGTCTTTAATTCAAACTGGAATGTTTTGGAATCCATTATACAGTAGAAGATTGGATAGGTAACTTTCTCCGTGACAGGAGACAAAGGGTAAGGGTAACCGGGGCTCTTTCCTTGTGAGTACCTGTAAAAAGATGTACTGATATAAATGGGTGCAGAGAAAATAGCGAGACCAAATGGTTCAAATGGTTCAAATGGTTGTGGACGGAATAGAAGAAGCTTTCGCTTGTAGTGACTCACATTTATCACGAGAACACGACTGGTTTAATAAAAACAATTATTATTATAACCAAGTGTACCAGTGTTTGTTTTAATGTGCTTTTGTTTGACTGTGCTAATGACAGCTTTCTTGTGCTTCCATTCTTATACTTACACTTCAATTGTAACTTCGCGCGAATTCGGTTACCTTCTGTAACCAAGCTTGTATCCTGGCACGATCTCGGTATCCTTTCGATACCACGAGATCGCCAGCAAATATAACTCGACTTGGTCCATTAATTGCCTTCTGATATTTGGCTTCTCGGGGATTTTATGGAGTCATTTGGAACGAGCTTCTTACACCTGATCTAATTGGCACGTGTTTCCTGGTAGCGGTGTTCATAGTTAATCTCAACTCGACGCCACGCTACAATTGGTAATCCCAATTCGAATACAATTGGTGACCCGTATTTTGGAACACGCCTCAGCTTCTGGTCAAATCTTCCAAAGAAGCCAATTCGGTGAGTCTATGATTTATCTATCCACGTCTGTCGTATATTTTCATATTTTTTAATATATAATATACGCGACATGACGGATAACGATAAGAATAGTATTAATATAATAGACTCACACGTATGTGTACCGAATCCTTGTCACTTTTTATTCGCGTGATGATGAATTCCACGCTTTATTCGAGAAATGTTACCCTATTAACGATTCTCCTCGCTGACCCGGCTGCTTGGTACGGAATGCATACGCATAAGCATATCCGTCTACCACCCAGCACCAAGTGGTTAAGTAAACGGTTTCACTGCCAACTTAAAAGTGTTCTACGATCACACGAAAACGGCAACTGGTACGAAACCTTATCGCTCGTTCTTTTAGGGATCAGAACGAGCTTAAAGGCAGATATCCAATGTTCCGCCACTGAACTTGTATACGGCACGACATTGCGTCTGCCCGGAGAATTCTTCACACCACGGAGCAGACCTAATTTCGGTAAATCAGACAACGTCCATCGACTGTCTGCATTTATGCGAACGCTGTCTCCGGTGTCAACTCGAATACAACATCGACAGGTCGCTCTCTCTCGAGGGTTATCTACCTGTTCACATGTTTTTGTACGAGTAGATTCGGTACGCAAACCTTGGCAACAACCTTACGAAGGCCCTTTTCACGTGATCGCTCGTCACGAAAAGACCTTCAAGGTTGATCGACACGGCCGCGTCGAGATCGTCAGCATTGATCGTCTCAAACCAGCACACGTCGATGACAGTGCCCTATCTGACACCCTGAGATTCAATGCTAGACCTAACAAACCTAGCGGGATCTTAAATCTTCTCCAGGTCCCACGCTAGATACATTTGAGACCTCATTCTCACGTCCCAGTCAACAGCACGCGTCATCTGTACCATCTACGGACGAGACGACAGTCTCATGTCCAGATCAGCAGACCACGCCGCCCTTGGCTTCGGATGAGATTGCAGGCTCACGCGACGCGAACGAGACTGCCGTCTCACGTTCCGGTCGCCGAGTACGGTTACCCGTACGCTTCCGCGAATAGTCGCACAGTCAACAACCGATACGGTGTAGGATTATTCCTATACTACACGCATGCTGCACTCTTCTTTTTTGATTTTCTTTTTGTTTCCTGAGCCCACGCCTTCGACCATCTCCGTTTGGTTCCGTCGACTTCAGTCAACTTTGGCGAAAGCTGGATTGGCCACCCATGCTCTGGTCAACGCACTCAGTCGATATATTAGTTTCGAATGCTTGGCATACGCTTGGTCTCGAACTTGGTCGTTCTGGTCGCTTCTGGTCTTTTGGCTCAACGTGGTTTCGTCCTACGACTGCAGCGTTTCTGGTCCGCTTTCCCTACGAACGCCATCTTCAGCTTCTGGATACAAACCACACTGGTGTAGCATGCCAATTCAAACAACAAATACAGCACATCGCTCCTGGTACCGTTCTCCGAAAACGACCTTCGCTGGCAACTCGACGATCAACGATCGCTTTCCTGTTCGCCAATCTTTCCGTCCTACAATCGCTCGTCAGCCGATCAGTCCCACGATTCAAACCGCTATTTATCGAAAGTGTAAACCCTTTCTAGCGGGGGGCTCCTGTAGTGACTCACATTTATCACGAGAACACGACTGGTTTAATAAAAACAATTATTATTATAACCAAGTGTACCAGTGTTTGTTTTAATGTGCTTTTGTTTGACTGTGCTAATGACAGCTTTCTTGTGCTTCCATTCTTATACTTACACTTCAATTGTAACTTCGCGCGAATTCGGTTACCTTCTGTAACCAAGCTTGTATCCTGGCACGATCTCGGTATCCTTTCGATACCACGAGATCGCCAGCAAATATAACTCGACTTGGTCCATTAATTGCCTTCTGATATTTGGCTTCTCGGGGATTTTATGGAGTCATTTGGAACGAGCTTCTTACACCTGATCTAATTGGCACGTGTTTCCTGGTAGCGGTGTTCATAGTTAATCTCAACTCGACGCCACGCTACACGCTTAACAGGCTTCCGTGTCTAGTAGCATGGGATCACCAAATCCTCCAGGCAGGAACCTAGGTATGTTAACAATAAAAAAGGAAAAGAAATTGGTAAATCATAATGTGATGCTGTCCTTGGTCCTTAAGAATAGGTCAAGTTGCCTCTTGAAGGACTCCTGAGAAGTCGCTTGGACTAGCTCGGCCGGCAGCGAATTCCAGCTTTTGACAACTCTTAAGGAGTAGAAGTTGTGTCTACATTCCGTCTTGCTATGTTGTGTTTCCAGTTTCTGGGTGTTACCCCTTAGGTTATTATTCGAACTAAGCTTAAGTAGGTGTTTAAGAGGATGTCCAGAAGTGTTAAGAATACTATAAGCCATTAGTAAATCACCTCTAAGACGCCTATATTCTAGTGGGTAAAGGTCTAGTGAACGGAGGCGTTCTTCGTAAGGCTTAGATTTGAGTCCTCGAACTGATTTCGTGGCTCGCCGTTGGATACGCTCCAAAGTGACTTTGTCCTTATGGAGTGAGGGGGGAGTACTATGTTTCCGTACTCTAAATGGGGACGGATGAAACTATTGAAGATTGTGTGGAAAGTTCTTCCGTCAAACTGGCCAAAAATGCGCTTCAACGTTACCAGTGCAAGGTTTGCTCGGAAGGCGTTTTTGTCACAGTTAGCGTAAGACTTTAAGTCATGGGGCACCAGGACTCCTAAATCTTTTTCGACTTGGGATACTACTAGAGAGGAGTTTCCTAAGTTGTAACTGTAGTTTGCGACATGTCGCAGATGGACTACTTTACACTTTGAAGTGTTAAAGGTAAGTCCGTTATCGTCTGCCCAACTTTGAAGTCGCGTCAGATCCTCCTGAAGTGCCTGTGTATCGTCTTGGTTGCGTATCTCTCTCCAAAGTTTCACGTCGTCGGCAAAAAGTAGTAAGTCTGACGTTACCTGTTGAGGAAGATCATTTATGTAGATCAAGAAGAGAAGAGGCCCTAGTACTGAGCCCTGGGGAACCCCACTAGGACATTCCATAGCCTGAGATAAAGTGGAATCAACCCTAACCTTAAAGTGTCGATTTTTTAGGTATGAAGTAAGCCAATCGATTAGAGGTGGTTTGATACCTAGTCGTTTGAGCTTGTTGATAAGACACAAGTGGTTAACCTTATCAAAAGCTTTTGAGAAATCAAGGTAAATGACGTCAACCTTTCCCTTGCAATCGAGGATGCTTGTCCATTTGTCCACCGCAGTCAGCAGGTTGGTTATACAAGAGTAACCCTTCCTGAAACCATGCTGTTGGGGTGAGAAGAAATTTAAGGACAGTAGATAGTCATTTAAACCGTCGCATATCAGGGACTCCATGAGTTTCGAAGGTAATGACAGAAGAGCCACCGGCCGATAACTTGAAGGTTCATTGCGTCGACCACCTTTGAAAATTGGTGTGATGTGAGCCAACTTCCAGTTTTCCGGTAATTTGCCTCGGCTAAGCGAGTGTGAAAACATTACGCTAAGCGGCGTTGCCAGGATTGAGGCTGCCTCCCTCAGTATGGCAGGATGAACCATATCCGGGCCAGGAGAAGTGTCAAGTCTTAAGTGCTGCAATTTCCGGAACACCAAGTCAGCGCTTAGGTCCACTTCAGAAAGTCCTGTGGAGTTGGAGATGAAACTGTCGTCAATAAAGTTGATGTCAGCCGGTTGAAATGTTTGAGAGTAATGGGCCGCCAGAAGGTTAGCGGCGTCGCCATCGTTGTTGGTTGGGCCGTTAAGACCTAGCAGTTGAGAAACTCCTGTTTTGGCTTGACGAAGAGAGGCTGCATAACGGAATAGGCTTCTAGGGTTAGAGGCGAATTTGTCCATAAGCTTTGTTTGGTACTGAAGCCTGTGTTCTCTTATAGCCTTCGTGCATGTGTTCCTGATATGTTTGTATTGCCTATACGCTCCATCGTTATTAGTTCGTTTGTATTCCGCCCAACAGTGCCGTTTGCGGCTTAGGAGGCGAAGGGTACGGTTCTTGATTACTGTAGGTGGCTTGAAGCTTTTGGGAACCGTTTGAGGAACTGAATGGTCTGTAGCACATAAGAGCGTGTGCAGTAAGAAGTCCCAATGACCATCCACATCGAGTTGAGGGTGAACATCCCAAACCACCTGTTGTAGATAATCATGTAGAGCTGGCACATTCAGCCGTTTAAAATTCCAACGCAAATTATTGTTGGGATACCC